CACATCTGGCGCGATGTTCTATTGCACAATCATTATTGCCGTTGATACCTAATTGACCTCCAACAACAAAAACCACAACACCAATAAAAAATAACATTCTTTTTCCTCAAGTTTTTTCCACGCATCTCCCCTTTTCCTTTAGTAAAACAAAGAGATGAAAGAAAGATGACAAAACAAGGAAACAAAAAATCAAAGTAGATCCATTGTCAAGTAGTTATTTACACCACAGCTATTCATTAATACTAAAAAGAACACCAGTAATGAGTTTATGGGATATAAAAACGAAGAAAAAAGCGGTTCAGTACCAGGTAAAGTCTGTTGTTTCATCGTTTTTTTGCGACTCGCAGCACTCGAATGATCAACTTTAGAGTCTTTATCGTTTGCTTCCGCATCGCACTGATGACGATCGTTGCCCCTCCGGGAACAACGAGATTTACAACAAGTGACTGCTTCCTAAAAACTTCAAGAAATCTAACAGACTATCAAATTCCGGAAATTTCAAAAAAGTGCGCAGAAAATACAAACAAAATATAAACGTTTTTTCTACACTAAAGACCTGCATACCTCTGACGAATTACAAGAGTCGCCAAAAGCAATTATATCATGGCTGCGAGTATTGTAAGCAACGCTATCGTGAACAGGCATGACAACTACAAATGGTGACGTTTCCTTCTTCGTATTTGTGAAAACATTTGGCGGACCTATCCGCTTCCGACGATCAAAGGAGGAAGCATTCTTAGCGTGATAAAAAGACGGAACCTTAAAAAATGCAAACATTTAGTTTTTTTATCAGGATCCATGCCTTTCTGGATTACCAACCACTGCGTAAATACTAAAAGCATTTGATGCTTTGTTGCAACCACAGAGGAAAACAATCAAAAAGTGTGCCTCTCTTTCGTCTACGGCCTCGAACACATAATCGTTCAAACTTCCATTAACAATTGGACAGTCGTTGTTGAAGTCGTAGCCGAAGACGCTAGCCTAAAAACAGCAAATAAATATAATAAACAAATAATCAACTAAAAAAAATCTTACGAAGTCTAACCTGAGCCCTATCCAATAATTGTACTTCATTATTTGCCCAATCACTCGCTTCCCCGCACTTTCCTACGTCATCAAACAGCCGGCGTCGAACACGTTCTCCCTTTCTAGCACCAGACGATGTAGTAACAGCTACCTTCCTAGTTGCTTTTTTCGGGGAGGCAGTGACAGTGGCAGCAATTTTATCCCGAAGTGTCATGTATCAGCAGAGTGCTCCTAAACGGCAATCCGGAAGAAATAAGCAGAACCTTGGTCAGAAAATATGATCAACGAAGATAAAATCTACCTGAAAATTTTAGACAGTGTAGTTCCAGCAATGCATTAAAAATGAAAGGAAGAAACAGATGTACCACTAAGCAGCATAAATGACAATAAATCAAAGAAAGAAGGAAAGCGCACATATATCAGCCACTTATAACTCAAATGAAAAAAGCACCACGAGACAAGAATGATTCTTTTAGTTCAATGATCCATAAATGGAATAATACCGGAAATTCAAAGTCACGAAAATTGCGTTCCAAAAAAGACTTTAAAAACTTTATCGGCATCACATGAACAAAATTGCGTATTGTGCAGGAAATGCAATATAGAAATTCTGAGTCACAAAATAGACGTCTTTTCACCTTCTAAAGAGATGACCTTTAATCAATGAAAATTACCTTTGCAGCTTGAACTTTTTGATACCATAAAACAAAATAGATTTGCTATAACTACCAATGAAGAAAGTTTAAACGCATATAAATCTTTCAGAAGAGCTTTTATTCCTCCTTCGTTCTTTCAATTTTTTTTGCTAAACATATAATACTAAAAATGATGAATAAAGCCCTCATAAAGCGATTCAAAATGAGTTTCTTATGTCAAAGGAACAGTAACTGCAATAAAAAACGCAAAGTTTCAAAGACAAAATGAGACAAGAGAAGGAGAAAAAAGACAATAATAGTACATATAAATTTGTTACTATTCATAGTTAGACTCGAAATTAAGACTGTTTCGGCTTTTTTTCTTTTTTTGATCCATCTATCATTATAACATAATTCAGCCTCTTAATACTTTACTGCTTAGCAAATTTATATCTCATGTATATGTTTAAAAAAAAAAAAAAAAGCAAATAGACAAACAAATAAATGAATGAGCAAAAACAAAAAGAAAAGAAAAAAATCAGAAACAAATAACACTTTTCTAATGAAATTTTGAAAAATATTTTGAAGAATAATTTTGATAAATAAAAATCTTCAAAACTGAATACAATACAAATATAGTTCATCATAGATTAAAAAAAGATTTTAAATTCACTTACACGTAAACCCAATCTAAATTTTAAACTGTTATCAAGGCAGAGGCGATCATAGAATACGGATGCAAAAGAGTTGCACTAAACGTAAACTGATGAAAATGAAACCCA